AAAAGAAGAGATTCAAGAGAGATGGGTTTTTAGCTCTTGGCAGAGACATATAAGTAATAGTTGTAGTTGTCTTTGAAACTGCTTATAAAAAATAGAATGGATAAAGAAAAGAAGAAGAACTACCCGCACATTCATCGAGTTTCAATCAAGAAGACCACTGCCTCCATGAGATAAAATTCGGCAGCACCAGACAAAACAGAGACGTGTAGTTGCTAAAGAGACCAGTGCCAAACCATGTCGTGACAGCCACACCCAACGAAGTCGCTATTTTCATTTTTTTTTAAGAGAGAAACCACAAGCCCATTAACACCTCTCACCCACACTTGTGTTATGTTCCAAGAAAGTAATCCAAAAATCGAATTTATATCAACAAATAATACATGGGCATTATTCAACAACAAAAATAGAAAAAGCTGTCAAAGTATGGATAAATATGCCCACCTGTAAAAATTGATAACTGTAAAACTGATAACAATAATCTCTAATAGTCAACATACTATACTATTCCATGCTCTAGGTGCTCCAAGTCCAAGAAACCAACACACTAAAATCCTCTTAAACATGCCCTACAATTTTAACAAACCCATGAAACACAAGCAATATAGTTATTACAGGCAGCCACCATAAATGGGTTCATACAAACAAATACAAACAAACAAAAGCCTAAAGCCTGGTGGGAGTCGAAACTATGCTTGAACCAGTTCTGTCCACGGATGCTCTTTTACACAGACTGGAGTTAGAGTACACATGGGTTGTTCTATAACATCGACCAATGTAACAGTAACAGGCAACAAATGTATATTCAATTCCATGGAAAAATCACAACACATAACAAAGTCATATTGCATAATAAATCGAAATTTCATAGTAGAACACGTAAAACATGAAAAATGCACTGAGATAAAGTTGGTAAATTGTAGGCAGAGGATATCCCTATTTCATATACATTCATTGAGACGGTGTTCGCTTGAGAGCCCATTTACAAAGTCGACAACTCTAAACGGACACCAATCCAAAATCTCGCATAGCTTTTGGCCTAACAAAAAAGAACTAATGAAAATCAAATTCCAAAGCAAAAATTGTAAAGGAAAAATATATATATATATATATACACACATACACACACACACACACATACACACACACATACACACACATTTATATATAGACCTGCGCAAACGAACATGAAAACAAAAGTGAAAAAGGTCACAAACATATAAATAAGCACCTAGAGAGAACGAACTTTGCTCCATACCCCAATTGTTTGTCGTGATTCGCGTTACACGATCTAGGGCACATCCATAAGTACGAATGGAAGAACATATCTACAAATCGAAAATTTAATAACAATAACATAAAAGGTGTCTGCCCATTTATAAAGATTAAAAAGTGGTTAATGTTGCATTTTTACAAATTGAAAAACAAAGAATCGAAGGGCAGCGAATGGAAGGGTAGTTGTATGTGGACATAAAGAAGAAAAAATGAACATTCACCTACTTGCAAATTAGAATCAGCATATGTTTCATCACGTGAATCAAAAATCAAGAGTCGAGAGTACGCGATCCTGATGCTGCC